TTCCATTAAAGGTGATGGAATAAAAAGGGTTGTGATTGGATACCATACACGGTATATTTTAACTAAGAATTTGATTTGACTGAACCTGGTTTTTGATTTGGTTCTTCAAGAAAACAAGTTGATGCTAACAATAATGAAGAACAATGTGATCATGGCAGCAAAAAAAATTGGCTATGGAAAATACAACAGAAAACTAGATTTTGTGGATGTTCATTATTTTGATGATTCCATTATTGTACTCGGATCATTGACGACATAGTTTTCTGAATCACCAAATAGAGGTGCTTGTGGATAGGAAACTAAAATCTCTCTCTTTCTCTTGCTCTCCCACAATGTGGTGCAAGTTACGGGGCTAATATAGAAAATTGTAGAGTGAGCTGTTTCCATGTGGAGCATCTATTCGGAGGGCTTTATCAGCCAGTTATCTTGGCTGATCTAATCCTTGTCATATTTCTTGGTCTCACCCGGGCAGTTTCTTAGTGATTTGAAATCCTTAGATGTGGTTCTAAAGTGAGGTAAATGACTGCTCAGGCATCTTTCTCTTAACAGACATTCTTTAATTTTTTGGATGCTTTTAATAATATTACTTTTTTGTTGATGGCCTTTTAAAAAACTTACTGCTGCAGGATGCAAAAGGAAGCAGTTATTGTTGTCCTCCATATAAGGGGAAAAGTTCCGGAGTGCGATGGAAAGATATTTCAAAACCTAGCTCAAATTCTGGAAAGGGCTATTTGTCGAGGGGAAAGACATACGGGGAAAGTATTTCTGTGAATGGAACATACATGTCTAAGCCGGTTCGTAAGAGCAAGCGTGTGCCTAAGAGGCGTGTCTTGGATGTGGGTTTCAATGATGGTGATGATGATGAAGATGAGGAAATTCGGTACCTTGGAAGACTCAATGCTTCAAGTGTGACTGCAGATTATGAAAATAGTGGAGATGAAATAAGCAAGACGGGGGAGGGAATATACGAGGACAAAGACTACATGGAGGAAGAGGAACCCACTTCTGATGATGAACCTGGATCCAAAAGGAAAAAGACATGGAAGGATTCAGTTGATTTATTTTTAGAAGGAAGAAATGAATCAACTCCCACTACACGTCATCGAACCCTTCAGTCTAGTAAAGATGTTTTATCTGGCTGTTTTACCGGTCTACTTGAATTCCCAGATGGTTTGCCTCCTGCTCAACCTAAAAGTAAGCAGCTCTTTCTCGTATGCCTCTTCTTGAAAACTTTATGACCTTCTTTTATTTGTGATACTATTCTGGTTGTTCATTATTGTATCAATTCATAATGGAAGTATGTCTTTATTCCTATGCTCTTGGTTGGTGACAGAACAAAAGGAGAAACTGTCTGAATTAGAACAACAACTGAAGAAAGCTGAAGCTGCACAAAGACGTAGGATGCAATCAGAAAAAGCAGCCAGGGAGGCTGAGGTACGCCTGCATATTATCATTTAGTTTTGCATTATTGCTTGATGCAGAGTTGGGCAGAGGCTTACTTTCTGTTTTCAGGCTGAGGCTATCAGAAAAATACTTGGTCAAGATTCGGGGAGAAAGAAGAGGGAAGAAAAGATGAAAAAACAGCAGAATGAGCTCACACAGGTATTCACAAACAGAACACTGAATTTTTTTTTTTCCCGAGTGCAGCTTGGTTCTTTTTTCTTTGTGTTATAGCTGAAGCAATCTTTATTCTACATCAGGGGAAGGACAAGTCTCACACACTTGCACCAAATACTATCAGATGTGTTATTGGTCCTACTGGAACCACTGTTACATTCTCAGAAGACATTGGTCTACCGAATCTATTCAGTTCACTGTCAGGCCGGTAAGTTCAATATTTTTAAACAGAATCCAAAAGCTTCTTTTATATTTTTCATTCATTATATGTGATGTCATTTTGGTACTGATGATTATTTTCTCTACAATCCGACTCGGTTCTCTCTTCTCTTCTCAGTTATCCACCACCACGCGAGAAATGTGCAGGTCCAAACTGTACAAATACATACAAATACCGAGATTCCAAGTCGAAGCTTCCGCTCTGCAGTCTACGCTGTTATAAGGCAATACATGGTAAAATGCAGGCTTTAATTGCCTGTTGAGTGCTGATTGTGTAACCATTTTATCCGGGTGTGCTAGAAGGCATTGTCAGGATATTTTGTGTATTCTGGATGAAGGGATGATACCCTT